TCTTTAAAATATTGATTTCTTAACTTTGGGTTGGAAAAGTGGGGGTCGTCTTGTACATGGGCGTGTCTTATTGATGGAAAAATACGGTATTTTAGTATCTGCTGCAGATGGGAATTTTTTAATAGACGTAATTTCTACATACTGCAAAATCACATTTAATTCTAAATATTTGTTACTCTAGAATTGGTGCTAGGATTATGTTTAGACATGAAGGCAAGAAATAATTAAATGTCCAGGGGCAATTTCAAAATTAAATCATAGTACCCAAAGGCTAAGCCTTGGTTTATTAAATCATTGTACTTTGATTTCTAGTATTCATTTAGAAAAGTGATAAGAAGAACCATTTTGTGCATTACAGTATTGCTAAATAGATGTAACACATCTACATCTGTGCAAATTAATAAGCTGAAACAGAACTCCTAATTTAGAATAAGTCTAACTAACTATAGTGGAGCTTGTTTCTGATGGACGCTCTCAGAAATAAATGTCATACAATTTAATACAGTAATAATTTGCTATTGATACAGCATATTTCAAGTGAAAATTCACAACTAAAATATTATTTGAACAAATGAATTGTTACACCTCATTTAGATCTTGTGCTACACTAGCTCTGACATGGGAGCGTGCCAGATGTAAAGATATTGCCACAGTGAAAACAAGATTTTTGATGTCAGTTAAATTGCATTAAAATCCAGATCTTATCCTATCCTGTTGAAAGCAGCAGTTTATAGAGATTTATGGGAATTGAGCTGTAAAGATCTGGCAATTTTGGACCACTGTTAAAATATACCTTACTCACTTTACATTTTCTTCTTGCTTTTAAAGAAAATCTTCTAGAAGATGAGGGCAAAGCTTTGTTTGGCTCTCTACAAAGTAGACAGGTATGAATGTCTAGTGGTAATAACTATGTTTTTATCCATTGCCAAGGTAAATAGACTAATAGTTTATTGAGAGAGATCCTTTTAACCTTTGTAATCTACATGTGATATTTTTAACTTGAAAAATGTGACTCAGTCACATAGGGAAAATGGAAAAAAAATTAATGAGTTTTTATAGTCAAGAAGCCATTCTGCAATTATATAACTAACTGTAAAGTAAACTGCTTAACACAAGATTGGCTTTGCCCTTTATATTAATCTGTACATCTCCAGTGAGCAAAGCTCAGGAGTGCTGATCTAGCTGAGTTTGTGATTATTTTATGAGTTATTATTTGTATTCCTAGTTATTATCTGCTCTTGTAAGACACTTCCAAATAATAGATGTATTTAAACGGACACTGGATGGTCCTCTGTTAAAGATATTGTAGTTTCATTCTGCGTTTTTGTTTTGTATGAAGTAGGAGATTAAGCTAGATCAGCTGACCCCAACCTAGGTGGACTTCAGTTCCAGAATTCTTAGCAGTTTCGGTGGTGGCAGGGGAATGCTGCAGTCCTTACATGGCTATGATATAAGAGCAGTGGTGCATTCTTGCCTTAAGGAGGATGTTTCCACTTGTTACTTGGATAATATAAATTATTAAAAAAGAACATGCAGGTTCTAATCTAGAACTGAGTAATATCTTCATATATAGACCACTGAAGTTCAGGCATTTCAGTGTGCAATTTACCATCACCTTTCAGACAAAGCAAATAATTATAAAACCAGAGATGTTTGCTATTTGCTAAACATATGCTCAAGTGCTGGACATTTTTAAGCAATTTTTTCAGATTGTACCTTGAATGTTTATTTTCTCAACTGACTAATATATAGACTTTTAGATAAGGGGAAGTTAGTCACTCCCTGCATATATTTTTTCCCTTATTTGCCTCCGAACTACAGTCCTGATTCTTCAGGCATTGAAGATAAAGTTCTTTAAGAAAAAGATAAAGACAATTTCATTAAAAATTCATTCTCCTTCTTCTTGCACTCTAGCACAGTGGTCTTAAAGCCCTAGTACAATTTGCAGCTGTTCAGAGGACTACAGTGCCACAAAACCTGATCCAACAACATCTTGTACGTCTCCTAGGAGGTAATGCATTTTTCATCACAAGATTTTAAAAATATTTAAAATCTTCTTGCAACTGTTTCTTCCCTAACACAGTTGTATAATTCATTAAAAAGTATAGGTATAAGCAAGCACATCTAGCAATGCAAGGTTCTAGAAATCCCCGTTAGATCAAAATGCATACATAGTTAATTTGTCGATCAACCCCTTCTATTGCTAGGCTTCAAAAACAAGTCATGATAATGTCAAAATGACAACTATGTGAATCACATCATTTTATGATGATATAATGTACATATCAACATTTGCCTCCTATTGACCCCCCCCCCACAAAGACATCTATAAATAAATGTGAGGGACAGTTGGCTAAATACCTAAGCAAGAACAACCCTCTCACTTTGAGGTTAAATAGTAAAGAAGGAGTTTGTTGGAGTCTTTTGTTCTGCTGAATTTTCTCTGGAGCAGCAGTTGCTGGTGGGGAAGGTAGGAAAGGAGTATAAGCTATGCAGGTTTGGGGCTGAAGTTTTCCAGGACTCGTACTCATTAATAATGCAAACAATGTATTTTCAATTTATTGTTAACAATATCTGAAATGTCTGTTTTGCTCTTGTAGTTCTTTTGCCCAATTTAAAAGTGGAAGACACCCCATCTCTTCTAGATGTAGACCTCTTCCATGCTTTGGTAAGTGGATTGATGGCTTCTGCTAACGTTAATGTTCCTTATTTTTTGAGACTTACTGAGTAGACCCAGTATGTTGTTTTGACTTCTCTGGGGTCATATCTGTAACAGTTGCTTTATGTAGTCTGTTGAAGATAATATGTTGAAATGACATTGTTTTCATTTGGGTGTGTTTTCAGTTCTTCCTTGTGCCTACACATTTTAACATTAGTTAATTTAAAAATATGGTATCAGATCCAACGGTTTTGATCTTTTGTATGAGATTTATAGAACCTTTATTTTTGAAGCATATTTCATCACATTGCTTGGGTAGCTGTTTTTAAACATCTATTATGAAAGCCAAGATAAACAATTTCTTATTTCCTCTGTAGGTTGGATCTGTGTTATCATTTCCATCTTTGTATTGGGAGGATAATGTAGGCTTGCAACCTTCAGCTATCAGCTCTGCTTGCAACCAACTCTACCTCTTCCACTTGTTTACTATGGCACACATAACACAAATTATTCTTACTACAACAGCAGATAAAGGTATCTTTGATTTAAGATAATAGAATAAATCACTTTTAGATACTTTTGCCAAAGTTTTGTATTCTTTCCATTTATTTGTGAAGTGTTATTTGTGTGTGCATTCCTGCTCACTTTCCCTAACCCAACAATATAGGAGAATCACCAACAGAACCCAGTGGTTCATTGATCATATCCACTTCTCTCATAATCCTAGCATTAGTGGCTGTAGACTCAGGCCTGAAGAAAGGAGGTTCATGTTCTGCCAACAGCTGTGAACAGAAGGGATAATTCTGGTGAAGATAACACCATTGCACAAGATTTTTTGGTTTTTGATTCTCAGTTGCAGCCTTCTGGGCAACCCATCTGTCTATTTGTTCCCTTTTCTCATGTTTCTGTTTCCCTATCCCAGTTATGAATGTACCAATAGCTGTACCAGGCTTAATTCAATGTATTGGTACTAATCAATAAAGTCTGAAATAGTGAAGGATGCAAGTACTTAAAAGAAAATTTCCCCATTATCAGCTGACCTGTAGGCTTCCGGTATCAGTTGATCTGTAGACTCAGATCAGCTCTAGAGGCTTTGCTTTGGGTCCTACTTGCAGATATTACATTTTCTTTGTGTTAACTGTATATTGTTTTCAGTATTACTGTTTTATACAGAATTCTTTTAAAAGAAAAAAAGTGATATATAAAATCAGTAAATGGATATTATTAATGTTTTATGTTCAGAAAAATATTGATATTAAGGCTGAAAGAACACCCTTTCTCTATAAATTATTTAACAATTCATATACCAGTCTATTTGCTTAATTTCCTTGTTCACTGCAAATTGAATTGTCTTAAATGTTAATAATTTAATAGTGCAACATTACGTAATTATATATGTAGGGTCAGTTCTTTGATGAACACAAAACAAATATGTTTCTGTGTAGGTACTTTTCAGTGGTTTTCCTTTTTTTCTTTTTGCACATTATTTTTAAAAGGGGTGGATTGTTTTCACTATATGTTTTACCTTAAATGGCCTGGAAGAAAGGAATTAATTGATTTTTAGTAGCATTATTCAACCTGACCTGGATTGTGTATATCAGATTGAATGCATCTGGATGATAACAACTGCCTGCACCATTTTAACTGGGTTTTCAATTGAGATAGAGTACTGAATTTACTTTGGTTTCTTGGCGATGGAGGAGTGTGGCTCTGCTAGTTGGACTTCTTGGTAGTTTTCACAACCTTTAGGCAAAGTATCCTTTTGGACTTTGGTGGCACTCCTTTGCAGTCATTCAGGCCTTTCTTGGCAAACCAGAAGTTGTCCTGGGGCTGTGCTGTTCAGTAGATAAGCCATTGATCTATGGTGTCCTGCTGGATTCTATCTAGTCACCATAGTTTCAGTATCTATGCAAAATCAATGGAAGATTCATTCAGAGCTTACAGTGGGGTGCCATCAGCCTGCTGATGATTTCCAGCTCTACTTCTTCTTGCCATTCAAGAAAGTAACATTTTCAAAATTCGGTAATGGGCTGGGTGAGAAAGAACATATGGTATTAAATCTAGGCAAGATGGAGATGTTATTGGACAGTAGGAAATTATACTGGGGTAGTGGGGTAGGGGAATTGAGATTCATCTTGTTCTGCATGCAGTTGCACTCCACCTGAAAAAATAAATTCCCAGCTGGAGTGTTTTTTTTTATCTTTAGCTTTCACTGGATTCAAATGTGATATTGGTGCTGTTATGATGATGAACCGGATACAGCCATTCATAAGTCATTCAGATTTGATAGTAGTTAATTGCAGTAATGATCTTTTCAGATTGTCCCTCTGCTCAGATACTGAATGATAGTGAAGAAGCACGTGCTGCTGAATCTTTTTGCAAAGAAATTTCCAGATACACAAATTGGTAAGTGGCTTATCTGCGATACACCTTGGAAGGTAAACATGTTGCATTGGTGCTTCACGTTTTCAAACGGAGGGAGGAAAGGTTTCTTCAGTCCAGAAGTTCACACATCAGTAATGCCTTTGTGATTTTTGCTAAATATGTTGTACAAACGTGCATCAGTGAATAAGTCTATGTGGGGGGGGGGGTGTTTAGGCCAGAAAAACCTAGTTTGAGAATATGGCTTGCTTTTGGTTTCCTGATTGCAGTTGTTAGTTTGCATGATGTGCAGTGTTTTGATTTATTCTTGGCTTGTTTCTGTGTCCAGCCTAAGACGTGAACCACTTCATTAGGGAGGCAAGATATGAGCTGCTTAAAACCGAAGAAAAATAGAATGGGAATGGGCCAAACAAGCTATGATTGCTTTGTTCATCTTTCAGATTAACTGAAGCTGATTTGGGGCTTAATCAGCACACCATGGCTAGAAGCAAATATGATTTAATGCAATGTTGCCGAATTATTACATTTGTTAATTGTTTTATAAGCATTTTTAGCTTTGCCTCAAAAGTTTATATAAAACCTTTAAGAAAATAAATAATTTCAATATTGACAGAACAAGTTCTTTTTGGGCAGCAGTTAAGAGCATAAATGGAAGGAAAGATGATAAACAGAAAAAGGAAGGCAGAGCAGAAAAAGAGCTTTTATAGCAACCCGCTTAGCAGTCTTTTTAACAACACTAACTGATTGTATATTATTTGAATATAACTGGATACTTCTGGAGTGGGATTGATTATTTTTACCACTTTTCCATGAATTTTCCCAGGGGTGTGTCTGTGTGTGTATGAAGAAACAGCATCACTGTTTTGGTGAGAGTTTTTTATACTTTTCACCACACCTTGGCCATTTATTTTTAATCAGCTAGGGTTTTAATCCAATTTCAAAGTTCTGAAAATACTAAATCCACATACGTTATATATGTTATAGTTGCTACAGCTTGCAAGTTCCAGGTTGGTATTTGTGGGATTGCATAAAGAAAGGGATCACCCCCTACCTCCGCTGCGCTGCTTTGTTCTTCCATTATCTGCTGGCAGTACCTCCACCCGAAGAACTTTCATCCGGTAAGTAGCCATGTAGGGTAATCTCATTAATTCTGAGGTGGAGTCAAATTCAAATCATTCAGGAAGCAAAATGTACTATTAAATAGGTGTAAAAATACTTTTAATATCAATTCACATCCATAACATTCTCAATTTCAGGCAGTATTCTCCACTGAAAACCCTCTTCTTAAAATGTAGCATCCAAATCTGGTTATTTACAGTATTTTTTATACTGATTCAATTGATGGACTGCATAGACTGCAGCTTTTGAATAAAGAAGGCTTTTATATTAGGTGGTGCAATTAATGGTACAGCTAAAATTGTTCTTTTCACAGTTTCAGAGGAAGATCAGTTCAAGGCACTTTGTGACTACTTGTCTCTACCTACCAATCTGTTCATGCTTTTCCAAGAATATTGGAATATTGTGGAGCCCTTACTTCAGAGGTATTCTTAATTGATGGAAAAAAACAGCTGACAAGCTATACCCAAACAAATAAGCTGTATTATTAACATATACACGCTAAGACAATGGCTAGGTTCCCACAGTTCAGTGAACCACAAACTACCCATTCTCATTTTAGTCATGTCTAGCGTGTTGTGCTAACCTAGGCTGTGCATATATGTTAGGGAGCAGTCTGCCAGTATAGGACAACCCTGACCTAAATACAAGTAGACTAAAATGTTTAGCATTTATGTAATCATATTTAATACTAATACAGTAATTTTAAGTAATTTTATGCATAATAATTGCTTATCGGTGACTTGGCTTTGAGAAAGCTCTCCTTTATCTTAGGCCTTGGGAAAGCACTTTCAGGTTGCTACTGGGATCCTCTTGGGAAAAGTAGTTTGATGCATTTATTTAGAAAATCAGAAGTTAATGTTTATAGAAGTACAAAATGATGAACCAACCCTCAGTCTTGCAGTAAGCATAGGATTTTTTCTTGGGGGCAGGAATGAAAACAGTTTGAATTAATTCCAAGGTGAGATTGCTTGCAGACTTAAGGGCAAAAAGGTTAGAGTGGTGGAGTGTGAAAACTGACTTCAAGGACTAATAATGGAAAAGCCTGATCAGTTGTGTATTTGGGCACTGTTCTCTGCTCCCAGGGTCCCTTAGCATCCTGAGAGTAGTGCACTTATCTATTCAAATATACGTGCCTGTTTATATATGTTTGTCAGGGTAGGGTTCTCATACCCACATCTAGAGATTCAGCAATGTGACATGGCTGTTAAAAGGCAAATGCAATTTTGGCTACATCAGTAGAAAGCAGTAGTTCCACTCTATACTGGATGGTCCAATTCTGAGCAAGATATTTTTAAAGAGATTCTGAAAAATTGTAGCAGATACAAAAAAAAGCAGTGAGGATGATCAGAGAGAAGAGGCTTAAGAGAAGAGCTTGAGGGAAGTGGATAGGTTTAGCCTGAGAAAAGACAATGGAGGAGGGACACAATAGCAATTTCAATTATTGTAATGGGTGTCACACAGAAGAAGGCTAAAACTTTTTCCTTGCTGCCCCAGAGTGTAGCCACAGAATAATTGTGTTACATAGAATAAGGCAGATTTCAGCTGAATGTTAGGAAAAGCTTCTTAATGGTAAAAGCAGTTCAGCATTGAACCAGATCAAGAGACGTGCCGAGTTCCCCTTCGCTGGATTTGTTCAAGGAAAGACTGGACAGTGATCTTTTGGGATAATTTAATAGATTTCTGCCTGAATAGGAGATAATGCTCAGGAGCCTAAATGATTTCTTCCCATTTTGGATTCTATGGCTTGTTTTTGTCAAGTCTTTCCCCTTGTTTTTGCCACTGACAAGACTGATAGAAAGTTTCTCAAACAGTTGGTGCGCTGATCCTGCTGTACTTTGCTTCCTGGAGGGAAAAAGTATTGCAATAAGGTTAGTTTCATTTCTTCTGACTCTACAACTACATACAAGTTATCTGGACTTTATTAATCAAAACCAGAGTGTATTTCTAACTTGCTGCTTCTGAATGCTTTTTATATAATTTCTGGGTGAGAGGTGAATATTTCACTGGAATTCAGTAGAAAATGGATTGAATAGTGTTTTCAACTAACGTTCATCTTTCAAGTAAGATTGCAGCATTCCCTTATTAATGTTATGTGTTACTCATTCCTTTCAAAATATTTCTTTACTGTAAATTCCACACTCCTTTTTGAGACACAAATGCAATCAATTTATTGAAGCATAATATTCAGAGAAGCCTTCCCCAGCCGTGTTTCTTCTTGATATTTTGGACTTCAGTTCCCCAATCCCCATAATTATTTCCCCAGTTATAAGAACTGAAATCTACCACCAGTGTAGGAAAGGTTGATTTAGAGGATAGCAGATATCTGGACTGAGTAATAAATTGACTCTAGGACTGGCACGTGAGTCAGTACAAATAATTGAAAGTAAACTGTTTCTTGGTAGAAGAATATCTTTCTGTATATCTCCTATTTCATATACGTTAGACATTGTATTCAAATTGGGGGGAGGGTAGCAAAGTGCCATCATATATAATAGATTCTTTAGAATTTGTTTTTCAATAAACAGGGCTACAGGTAGACCTCGCTTAACGACTGCCCTCTCTAGCAACCATTCAAAGTTATGATGGCACTGAAAAAGTAACTTTACAACCAGTCCTTGCATTTATGACTGTCACAGCGTCCCCGCTGTCACGTGATCAACATTCAAGCACTTTGCAACTGGTGGACATTTACAACTGTCACAGCATCCCATGGTCATGTGATCAACATTTGCACACACCACAACTGACTCCTGGCAAGCAGTCAATAGAGATGCCAGCAGTAAAATCTCAAGTTGTGGTCACATGATGTCTCACTTAACAACCCTCAGTTACTCACTTAATGACTGATTGAGAAGTGATGTAAGTCCATCACGGTCATGTGATGTTTCACTTAGTGACCACGTCGCTTTGTGATGGGGTTGCTGGTTCCAATTGTGGTTGCTAAGCGAGGACTACTTATATTACTCCAGAACCACAAGTCAGCAGTCCTTGGTCCTAACAGACACTGGGGTGGGGGGTAGAAATGAGTAATCAGATGGTTTGTATTTCTTTATAAAGGAGCTCTTTGAAGGGCTTAAAAATTGGGTGGAAATGTTCACATGAACACTTATTCAGAACTCTCTCACACCTTTTAAACCTGCCTTCTCCCATCGCTGGTGTGCTGACCCATCTTCAAGGCCTGCTGACCCATCTTCAAGGTCTCTACAGATGCTTGCAGATAAGAAATGTTGAGGATGCGATCATAGATCTATCCCTCATCTGATCTCCTTTTAATGGTTTCATTGCACGTGTAATTAGTTGCATGTCTCTCTAGATTATCATTATTTAGAAATAGTAACAGAAAGGAAATGCATATGCTATTTTTTTCAACTGATTGTTTCATAATTCTCTGTAGATGCATAATATAGAACTCTCATAAATTCCTACCTTGAACATCGTAATTACCTTATCTTTCTGCCTTATGCCATTTTGTATGCAAAAGATTCCAAATTCCACAGAAGAATACTCTAGCACAGTGTTTCTCAACCTTGGCAGCTTGAAGATGTATGGACTTCATGCTAGCTGGGGAATACCAGGAGTTGAAGTCCAGACATCTTCAGATTGTCAGGGTTGAGAAACACTGCTCTAGCAGGTGATGCTTTGATACGTAGTTGAACCCTGGCATACAGTACTGTAATTCTTTTTGTTTGAACAACTAGATATCCAAGGGAAAGAAATAAATTGATAGAGCTTCCAGAAGACTACAGCTGCCTTTTGAACCAAGGATCTCAGTTTAGGTGAGAACCAGAAGAGAACCAGAATTCAGTCTTTCATTGAACTGAATTAAGGATAACTAAAGGAGCACTCGTTAAGCAGACAATGTCATTACATTTTTCCTTGCTGTACATATAAGGGTAAGAAGCTTTATTTCAGGCTGGCAACTAACCCACACCTGAATTATCTTAGCGCTCTATATCACAAGAGGAAAGCTTTCAAAAGGTGGTAGTGGGAGTATGCCTCCTCCTGAAGCCTTCTCTTCTACTCTGCAAGACCTAAACAGGGCCCTCGTCTCCAGATCCAGGCTTGCTGGAATGTTATAAGGAGGCATTTTTATCCGAGGCTGGAGATGGACTTTCTTGTGTGTCGCAACTTTGACAACAGGCCTGCATGCACAGCTCTCACTCTTCTTTTCACAACTGAGTAAAGAGTAATGTCCATTATTACCTTTTCTGAAAAAGCTTCCAATTATTTTGAAAGCATTTCTAGGGGTGCCAATTCTGACTGGAAATGGTTTGCCACCTTTGCACCTGAGTAGATTTTTTCTTTTAATCTTCTTTAAATAAGTATAAAGTACATGGCAGTTATTGTAAGTTGACTATATATCAAATGCCAAGGATGGTGATATTTATTATTATCATCATCATCTTTCAAACTATAATCTTATACACACTTATCTAATAGTAAAGTAGCACTTATTACATGTATAGAACTGACTACCATTTGGATGGTACCCTTGGTGTAATATTGCAGAACAGTTTTAAAGGTTGTTTACTTGATAACAGTTTGGATTTTTAAAAAAATTGTATACAAAATCCACTATTTGGAAAACATTATTGCCCTTGAAGTTCAACAAATGATATTGGTTAAGAAGATAATGCGTAATATTGTTGTTTCTTAATATTCAAAATGTGTAAGGTGCTTTGCAAGTTTAACTTTGGAAGTACTTTATTACTATATCTGTTACCTAGTTGTTTTTACTGCTACCCAATTTAAATAATATTTTATAGATTGAAAAGGCTATGTTCAAGATCATTTCTTAAGGCTTCAACTGGTTTTGAATTTGAAATTGTGACTATGTTCAGTCATAATGTCAAATCATGGATTATGCTTTACATAGTAAAATTCCACACCATAGTTTGAATGTAGAGACAATTTACCTCAGAGGTTTTCTTCCCATTTTGACAAGTTTCAGCTTTATAAATGGAGAAACACATTTATTTATTTGTAAACATTGTAACATTTGGACATTAAAGCAAGCAGTATTAAATACATCTAAAATTGGCCCATGTCTCTTAGGTAAAAGTCTGTATTGAGAGCACAAAACTGTTTGGAATTGGCTAGTTTTACTCTCTGTCATAACTGGTTTCTATTTGCAGTGAAATATAGCAATGTTGAAAAATATGTTTTACTATCTACCTTCTAATTGTCTGGTTGTATGAATGTTAGCAATGAGATGGTGTTTGTTGACAACTTGGCAATATATTTACAATAGCACTTTTCAAAATACCCATCTTGGCTCCAAACTTTACTGTCTAATTAACTTTACCTTTACAGGTGCCCTCGATCCTCTGATGATGAAACCAAACATCCTGTCCTATGTTTGTTTTGTGGGACTATGTTGTGTTCTCAGAACACCTGCTGTCAAGTGCTAGTAAATGGAGAAGAGATGGGGGCTTGCAATTCACATGCTGTTTCCTGTGGTGCTGGAGTCTGCATTTTTCTCAAGTAAGTGACAGTTGGAAAATAAGGTTAATCTCAGTTAATTGGGGAATGGTAGGTAGATGGTGATGGATTCCCAATCTTGCATGTGCCAGATGTATTGGAGAATAGCACCCATAATTCAGATGCCACCTCAAAGAAAGAAGTGGGTAAAAATAATTGTTCTGCTTTCTTTTCCTCATGGCAGGATTAGGGGCCTCTTCAGTTTGGATAGATTGTAGTACAGTTAACAAAGAATGGGGTGATCCCTGAAATTAGGTAGTGTTTTCAGTAAGAAGGACCTTATTCAGAGAAGAAATCAGTGCTTAATTTGGGGGATCACCTGATTTGCCCATGTCATAGCTCCTCCCACTTAATAAGGCTCTGATCCTTGGGAATAGTGGAAAGGTAGATCTGCTACCATAGAAAAATAAGTGAGAAATAAGTCTGTTCCCCAGACTTTCTCTAGATATGATCTATTTTGTTTGCACATCCTTAGTATTTTTGTACCAAAACTGCCTGAAAATTTCTGTTCATTTTCAGATTTTCTTTTTTCTATTTTCTCCTTAAGAATCAGAGACTGCAGAGTTCTCTTGATCGGTGGCAAAAATAGAGGTTCTTTCTATCCTGCACCATATCTAGATGAATATGGAGAAACAGATCCAAATCTGATGTAAGTTACTGTTTTGCTCTTTTTCTTATAAAAAGCTCTATCTAGTTTCTTTAAATGAATTCTTACCATCCTTCATATTCAAGTTATTGGATGCTAGATTTAGATTTTGTATTTTTATTTGGATTACTTCTTACTGTTCTCTTTCTTTAAAACAGAAACAGAAATGTACCATAACAGTGCCAGTAACATGTTGCTTGATTTCCCAAACGACAGAGACTTTTGTTTGCTAGTGAAAATTTGAAATTGGATTTGTGCCTGATGCTGCTGCTCCCAAATATTTCTCTGTGAATTAACTAAAACTACTCAGTAGTAAGAACAGTTCAGCAGTGGAACCAACTACCCAGCAACGTGGTGGGTTCCCCTGGGCAGAATGGGCTCATATGGCTAGTTGAATTAATTGGCCTGAATGGTCCCTTCCAACTCTATAATCCTGTGATTCTGGGACATGTATCTGAGTAGACCAAGGAAAATGCAGCAAAACTAAATATTATTTTTAAAACCCTAATAGTTGTATTTTTATTTCTCTTTGAAGAAGAGGCAATCCTCTGCACCTGTGTCATGAACGATACCGAAAACTCCATTCGTTGTGGCGACAGCACTGCATCATAGAAGAGATTGCTCGAAGCCAGGAAACTAATCACATCTTTATGGGATTTAATTGGCACCTGCTCTGAGTATCAGGCTCTTCGAGATTAAATTGGCGACACCTCATTTTGTAAAACATCACACAAAGAATACAAAGAATCTTGGTTTAAGGAAAAACTACTAACCCACAACCACATATTAAAACTTGTGGGCAAAAATTTGCTTAGAAAAAAAATGCATGCATGCATACAACTTCCCAAATATGAATGCTAAATGATCAAAACTGTGTGGATCATCAGTAACC